CACCCCATATATGGAATTGTTTAAATTTCCCCTTTGGGCCCGGTGGCAATTCTTCTACATAAATAGTCCATATTAGTGAAATACTTCTCTTTTGATAGGTGGTTACTAGCCGTTAACAACCATTTATTTACTTTAAAAATGAATAACAAACTTTATAAACTAACCATCCATGTGCCCCTCCTCCCCAGTACATGCCTGGGTAAGTTGGTTATTTTCTGCCTTTATTCTGGAGGAAGCTCTTGCCGGGTGGGGGAGGGAAAGGAACGGGAGGAGGTAGGGAGGGAGGGCAGAAGGGAGAGAGAGAGAGAGAGAATGCGCGCAGAAGGTACACGTGAAGAGGAACTAGGGAATATGGAGGCTATGAAAATCAAGATCATTATTGTCCAGTGAATTAGAAAAAAAAATAAAACAAAACTGTGTTCTTTCCCTGCGTTCCCCCCTCCGTGTGATGGTTTTGTGATAGACTTGTTCTCTGTGGGTCCCTTTTCCCTGCATCGACACCCCCCCCCCCCTTATTGCTATTTCAGCTCTTCCTCTTGTAAATTTCAGAGCCAGCTCTGAGGTGGTGGAGGACACTTATTCGAAAGAGCGAAATAATAGAGGTGCTGAGAGTATTTTTGCTGTTTCTTAAAAGGGAAAAACAAAACGCCCTCTTCTAAACAAGGCCACACAACTGTACCTGCTTTTTATTTTTATTTGGGGGGGGGGCACTGGCTGAACGAGACTACTTTTTAGTGTGATTTAAATATTTTGCGAAAAATCAAAAATATTTTACCCTATCATATTTAATCAGTTGTAATTATAACACATTCGAAATGAATAATATGTCTTGACAGTATTTTTATTGTTATTGTTCCTCGCATGATGTTCGACTGCTTTAGAAGCACAGGAAAGAGAAGTAAACGCGCTACAAATGGGGAATTACCCTCGTTTAGCATTAAAATTCATTTAGATAAAATTGCCACAAACATTTAAATGGGAAGATTAGTTCCCCCTCACGCCTTATTGCACTCGCTCAATGGTTCCGTTAAGAACATTTTACACGTTGGAAATTCCGTCTTCTCAGACGGCTTGCTGTTTCCTAGTTACCCACATTCAAAGCAAAGGCAGCAGCAAAGGCAGCCGCAGCAGCAGCAGCAGCAGCAGCAGCAGGAGAAAAAAAAAAAGTTTTGGCAACTGGTAGGC